GCTCTGAGCTTCAGTTTTTCATGAGGATGAGAGTTTTGTAAGCCATGAATACTATCAGTGTATTCATGCAGTAAAACCATTAATAACTCAGAAGCAGCATTACAGATAGCCACACAGTAAATATAGATTCTAAATGAGATAAATCTGCAAAATCTGTTGGTAGAAATGTTCGGGTGAGAGAAGTGGTTTCAATGTATTGAAATTCAACTCAAATTAGTTTAAGGTGAATGCACTGGCTCACTTAGCTAGGAAGACAGAAGCACACAGATGTCACTTGTTTCGGTCATGTTAATATCAAATGAGGTCTTTATATCTCCTCTGTTTTCTTTTCATTCTCATTGGCTTCTTTCTCATTCCATGAAGACAGGGTTCTGTGTGTGGTAATATGGCTGCTGAAACTCCCAATTTGTGTCCTTCAAATTCTGTGATCCAAAAAGGAAAGGTGCTTTTCCTCTATTTCTATTTTAAATCCTTCCATCCATCCATCCATCCATCCATCCATCCATCCATCCCAGGAAGAATCCTCCAGCCAGTTCTTGAAGTCAGAGGAATTGGGCTCTCTGAGTGGGCAGATGTGGATTGAGGAGGGGAAGATAGGGGATTGGCAGCCCCACTAGAATTACGTGGCTTGAGTGAAGGGAGAGCAATTGAAACAATTCTCCAAAAGCTAAAAGCTGGGCAGACACTCTGGAGAACAGTTTAGCGGTTCCTGAAAAAACTAAAAATAGAACTACCCTATGATCCAGCAATTGCACTGTTAGGTATTTACCTCAAGGATACAAAAATACAGGTTTGAAGGGGTGCATGCACCCCAGTGTATATAGCAATATATAGTAGTCTTATCAACAATAGCCAAACCATGGAGAGAGACCAAATGTCCATTGACTGATGAATGGATAGAGAAGAGGTGATACACACACACACACACACACACACACACACACACACACACAAATACAATGGGATGTTACTTGGCGATCAAAAAGAATGAAATCTTGCCATTTGCAACAACATGAGTGGAGCTAGAATGTATTATATGCTAAACGAACTGAGTCAGTCAGAGGAAGACAATACCATATGACTTCACTCATATGTGAAATTTAAGAAACAAAACATATGGGAACGGGGGCAAGAGGAGAAAGGGAAACTAAAAATAAGAGGCTCTTAGCCATAGAGAACAAAAGGAGGCTTGATGGAGGGAGAAGGGAGGGGGATGGGCTAGATGGGTGATAGGTATTAAGGAGGGCACTTGTTTGATGAGCACTGAGTAGTCTACGTAAGTGATGAATCACTGCATTCTACTCCTGAAACCAATACTACACCATATGTCAACTAAAATTAAAAAAAAAAAAAAAGAATGGCCACTGTCACTACATCAATCACTAAGAGAATCAGGAAAATAGTCTTGTTGTACTTATGAAATACCCACATCCTCTTCACTGTATAATTACTCTGTTGTTCTAGATTAGTGTGCCCATCATCTCAGTTTCTCCAGGACAGTCCTGTTTCATGTCTGTTTTCCTAGTAGAATTTTTAAAATCATTCCTTTTCATTCTCAAAGGGTCTCAGTTTGGACAATTAACCATATAGTTACTGAAAGTAAGATCAATTAGCAATGCGGCTTGAGCTCCACATCTGTCTTAAATCATCCTGATCCTTAGACTCAGCTGAACTTTGATTTGAGCTCTGATCACTTCTCTGCCTTTCTTGCCCACCCCAGTGTCAAATGCTCTACATTCGGAACTCTTAGGACATACAGGACATATTCTTTCCACTTTCTTTCCCTTGGGGGTCACCCCACCTTCTTTTTCCTGGGCTCTTCCAGATATTAACTAGTGGTGAAGAGGACTTCATAACCTGCCTATCTATCTGCTCAGAGCATCTGTGGGAGTGGAATTTTCCCTCTGGAAATTGCTCCGAGTTAAATGTACAGTCAAATAATGTAGTTCCAGCCCATGCTTTTTGTTTCTTTAGAATAGAAGCTTGCCTGGATCGGTTAGGTATGGTTTTATGTTTCCTGTTCTGTTGTATAAGCTCAGGCAGGTGGGGGCTGGGGGAGGACGGATGATGCAATGAATACAGTGTGATGATGCCAAAAGAAAAACTTTTTCTTGGTGATATGTTTGCAATTGTCCTCTTCACATACCACCTGAGAAGAAAGCACCCGTGTCAGCTTGGCCAGCTTGGCTGTGTGCTCTATCAGGTGCCGGTCGTGAAGGGCATGGATAAAGCAGAAAGCAATCTCCATCTCTGTCTGAAATTCTTGGCTGAGATGGGGAGGAGTGGAGAGCCCTGGTGTGTAGAACTGGGAGAGGGCGGGATCGAGGCCGTGCAAGTTCAGGGTCCACCCTCACAGCGGGTTCTGAGGGAATGGAGCTCCTACCCTTTCGTATTCTATTGCGTACAGCATCCACATGCAAATGTCTGGTGTCTGCTGCAATGAAGAAAAGCACTTTGGGGGAGACAGTGCGTAAAAAAGGTTTTGGGAGAAGGTTTTCATTTATTCAACAAATAATATGTAGTTTGTCCTGTGCTTTGTGCCAGGTACTGTTATATATTCTGGGGGATGTAGCAGGGATGTATATAGTGTTTGTGAAACAGAAAATACACATGTTGGTCTCTGCCCCTGGTTCCTAGCACAGAGCTCCCAATATCCTTGTAATTTCTTAAATGATAATCCTAGGAGTATATCTTGTTCTAGTATTTGTCTTTGACCCTGTCCCTAATCCAGGGCTCCTAAAACCTTAGTAAATTCCTAAGTAATAAGACCACTAGGAGTGTCTTTTGTTCTAAGGAAGGAAGTCTGAGGGGGCCCCTGGGTGACTCCTCAGTGGCCGCTGGTCACGAGAAAGACCGAGCCGTTCTTAGAAGTGTGGAATTTTCAGCCCTGTCCTCCATTCTTCAGAGAGAGGAGAGGAGCTGGAAATTGAATTAATAATTGATCATGCCTCCTGAGGAAACCTCTATACAATCTCAATAGTCAGGGAGTTGAAGAGCTTCCAGGCTGGTGAAAACAAGCACACTGGGGGGAGGGGGAGCGTGGGTGATGCACCCCAACTCCACAGGAACAGTGCTCCAGAACTCAGAACGCTCCCAGACCTCCCCTAGGTATCTCTTCATCTGGCTGCTCAACTGTATCCTTTAACGTATCCCTTAACAATCTGGTAAACAGCAGTGTTTCCCTGAGTTCTGTGAAGAGCTCTAGAAAATTAATTGGACCTGAAGATGGGGGTGTCTTTGGAATCCCTGACCTATACCTGGTTGGTCAGAAGCACAAGTGATAGGGCTCTCCAGTGGCACAGTGTGTGGTGCTTATACAGAAGCACAGGTGACGCTCTGGGCTTGCGACTGGCATCTGAGGTGTATGTTTCGGGGTGTGTGTATGTGTGTGTGTTGGGGGGAACAGTCCTGTGAGACTGAGTCCTTAACCTGTGGAATCCGATGCTATCTCTGGTTTGATAGTGTTGAATCTTGGACACTCTGCTGGTCTGAGAATTGCTTGGTGGTGTGGGGAAAAATCTCCCTCCAACTGGTAACCAGAAGTGTTTTTGTGTGAGTAGGAGGCTCACAGGGAAGAAACACATAGTAGGGAAGAACTGGATTTTCCCTATGCGGGTTAAAAGCTGAGTTTTTTCCATTTAAGCATTTGTAGGTATATAGTAGTGCTCTCTGTCATGGCAGAGTCTACATTTTAGTGAATGATGACAGACAATAAACAAATATAATAAAACATACATTATATAGCGTTTTGGGTGATAAAATGTTATGGAAAAAAGCAGAGAAGGTAAGGGAGATCTACAGTGCAGGGAAGGTGGTTGTAAATTTAAAAACAAGCAATCAGAATAGGCTTCAGAGAAAAGGATATGAGCAAAAACTTGGAAATAAGGGAGAGAGACAGACAAGTATCTGGCAGAACGCCTTCCCAACAGAGGGGACAACCCATGTAAAGTCCCCGAAGGGGAAATGAGCCTGGTGTGTTCCGAAGGAGTAAGGCCAGTGTGGCTGAAGGGGGGGGGGGAGGGGGAGCAGGAGATGAGATCAAAGAGCAAGGGGAGCTGTTAGGTGACATAGGGCAGGCTTTAAGGTCATTTAACTTTGAAAGAAATGGGAGGCCTAGGCTTCCCAGCTGAGGCTTTTAATTGCATTACTACCTAATGCATCTTGATGGATATTATGCAATATAATTCCTGCAGGAAATGTTCAGTATTTGTGTTTCTTTTGAATGTGAGACATGGCTAATTCCTTGTACACTGTATATTCATTAGGTTTACAACAGGCTCTGCTTTCAAGTACAGGGCTTTCCACATAGAGGCGCTTGTTAAATGAATAACTGAACGAATGAGGCTGGCATTTTAGCTGGCTCCAAGCAGGTCCTCAATGTATTATTTCAAGTTTCTTGCCTCCGTAACCTTTTCTCACTTGGGCTCTATTCAGCTGCCTGCTCTTTCAAGTATACATTTTTCTACCTGTCTTTGCTCATCCCATTTCCCTTTGTTTGAGATGCTCTCCGCAAACCTTCACACTTGATTCAAATTCTGCGTAATATTAAATACCCAGGACAAGCTCCACTTCCTCCAGGAAGCCGCTCCAGACTCTGAACTTCGTTACCTTTTTTTCTGAGCTCCTAGAGGATCATTCGTCTGACAGCTATCACTGACTTAGTATCTACTGAGTTGCATAATTTTTGGTGTTTATTTAAAAAAACACTGATGCACTCTATGTATTTGGCAACAAATACACAGGAATGCTAGCATCTTAGGGAGATACTTTTACCATTTTTGACTTGGCGCATCGCACGCAGATTAACAGACAAGGAGTGCGCTGGGACCAGGACCTAAACCGTATTTCGGACGAGCCAAAGTCGCCGTACCTCCTACTCATTAAGGGGTTAATCTTGCATTTCCTTTCCACGCCCAGTTAACCCCACCCCCTCCCCGCGAAGCTGCAGCCGGCGCGGTGTGGGAAGCTTGTCCGTTGCGGGATGCCGTAGTGGCCCTGCCTCCGCGGCTCCGGTCCCGGGCGAACATGGCGGCCTCCGAGTCAGCGCCGGCTGCGGGTCCAGGCGCTGCGGAGGGCGAGGAGGAGACGATTCTCTATGACTTGCTGGTCAACACCGAGTGGCCCTCGGAGACAGAAGTACAGGTGAACCAGGCCTCTCCAGAGCTGCGGCCAGCATGGCGCGGGCCCTGTCCGGGCAGAGCCACGTAACTAGAGCCACGTAGAGGAGTGGAGCCGGGTGGGAGGGGGAGCGCGGTTCCGCCGCTTGTACTGTCGCCTTGGCAACGGCACCGCAGGTTAGCTGGGGTCTGGGTCCCCTAAAGCAGGGCTACCTGAGATCCCTCGTGGGCTCCGAATTCTGTTGTCGGGGCAGCACCTCGGGCTCTGGATCTCAGTTTCACTGTATTTGGAGGGGACGCACAGCGTTGGACTCCGGGGCCCTTCTGCTGCCTGGACTCCGGGTGGTCCTTTCTGGGAGGCGAGGCCAGAGCTGCCCGGGACCGATCCTCATCCTCGGCGGGAGAACTTTCCAGGACCCTGCAGTCAGTCATCTCAGCAGCCGGAGGGCCGCCGCTGAAACCAGCCCTCCTTGGGGCTGACCTGGCCCATACTTGTGTACTTAGTAAAGAAGCTTTTAATGTGCTTGAGTGTCCGTGTCTGTCCCAGACTGTGCTGGGTGCTGGGCATAGGACGGTGAATACTTTTGTGGCGCCTGCGGTCTAGACTGGAGCCGATCCAGTTAACATTTTTCATCACTTAGCGTAATTGCGCTGCGCTAGTGGTAAGAACAGAATGCTGCTTCTGTTCTTACAGGGGGAAGAGGGAAGAGTGAGGAGGTGCTGATCCAGGGTTACGTTTCCTGCTAAAGAAGGGGTTCTAGAGGTTGGTAACCTTAACTGCACCTTAGGGTTTACAGTCGTTCAGTAGACAGGGGCCTCCCAGCACGAGGTGAATAGTAGGGACTAGGAATGCGCATTTATTCAACACAGTTTTTGAGTGCCTAACCGGTGCCAGCCATTGGTTTAGACCCAGAGGATGCAGCAAGTTCCAAAAGGACTTTTATTAAAATCAGGGAGTCCCATCATCTGAGTTCTTTTTTTTACAACATCTTTCTTGAGTGTTTTCCTTCCTGGGGAAACTACTCATTCATTCTCCTCTAAAGTTTGTAGGTTTTCTTTAACCTCCTTCCCATTGCAGTTTCTGCCTGTCATGAATAATGTATTTTTCAGACTGGCAGAGATCTGCATACATAGTACTGTTTTTCAAGTACGATATTAGTTTCTGTTTGTCTTGAACAATGTGAATATTGTAGGTCCTGCATTTAGGATGTTGCTGCTGCTTCTATTGGTTGAACAAATACTTGTTTTCACTGCTTGGTACTCACTGGTTAATTACGGGGATATTTCAGAATGATTAACATTTTAAATTGATTTTAAAAAGCACAGTACAATTTACATTGAAACCAGAGCACTTTTTTTTTTTTTTTTTTGGTTCTATTGATTTCAGCTGTCCAACTTCAAGCTGTCGGAGGGTGATTGCATCTGATTATAACCCTCCCCAGGACCAAATTGTGTCCTAACTGCAAAGTGGATAATCAGTTCATGTTTGTGGAATGCAGCCACTTTTTTGTGCTTTTAAGACCTACCTGTCTGCACTTCTTGTTCCTTTCCGAACTGTACGTTAGTACATTTTATTCATTATTTGTTGCTTCTGCTATTGTTTACCCTACTCCGAGTTTAGTCTATACTTAAGGAACTATTTAATACAACAGTCATTTATCAGTGTGTTAGTGGCATTTCCTCTGTGGACATACAACAAATAATAAGTTTGCCTCCAACGTAGGAGTTTATTAATCCGTGTGACCTCTTTCCCTGCAAGCAAAACTTATTCTAGGCCTCTGTAACTCACCCAAGTCACCTTTGCTGGACCGGCAGCCAGTATGGGCTTTGGCTGGTGTTTTGATGTTTGGTATTTGAGGGGTGCCTGGGTGGCTTAGTTGGTTAAGGTCCAACTTTAGCTCAGGTCATGATCTCGCAGTCTGTGAGTTTGAGCCCGGCGTCGGGCTCTGTGCTGACAGCTGAGCCTGGAGCCTGCTTCAGATTCTGTGTCTCCCTCTCTCTCTGCCCTTCCCCTACTCAATGCTCTGTCTCTCTTTCAAAAATGTGTAAATATTAAAAAAAAAAATCATGTGATGTTTGGTATTTGAGTTTCTGTCTTGAATCCTTGCAAAATTTGTGCTGACAAATGCCTGTAACTCCTCGGTGCTCAGTTTTGCCCCCACTCTTTTCAGTCCTGCTTTTCTTTTGTCTCTGAATAGTACTTTTTAAATACTGGTTGCTTGTACCCTGTACTGAGTATTAGCAAAAGAATATAACTTTACCTATTGTGTAAGTATTACAAGAAAATTCTCAAATATAAAAACAATTTTTTTTTCCAATTGCAGTCCAGAGGCAGTCGGAAACACGGTGCATCCTTTATCATCACCAAAGCCATTAGAGGTAAATGTAGCTGATTTATTTTTCTCTATATAATGATAAGAGCAGATAATTTTTTTCTCATTTCATTTATAACTACTGTTTTTGAAACTTTAGAAATTTTAAAAGCGTTCCTCAGACTTATAATGTAGAGCCTGATAAAAGTGAATAGCATACATGTTGCCTGAATTTAATTTTATATGTGTACGCATATTATATGTGATATATGGGTATGTATGTGTGGATACCGGTATATGTATGTATACACACATTTTTAATGCACCTGAGAGCTAAAGTATGGCTTAAGTTAACCATTCTGAATGTCTTCTAGAAGAAATGAAGAAAATCAAATCCAGTATGGGTCTCAGAGCATCTAGACATTGGGAGTGAAAGGACAGTCACAGGCTCTTTTAAGTGGATTACATGATGTTTCAGCTACATCTGGTCACAGTTATTCAGATTGAAAATATGATTAACCAGAGCATTCATGTAACTCCTAACCGAGTTTACATAGGAGCTACGGTACCAGAGAAAGTCTGGAGCACTGGTTGCTAAGCTCGTGCTATGGGGACTTTATGTACGTTTATTGATATAAGCCTTTAGCAGACCAGCAAGGTAGGTGCTGTCACGACTTCGTGTTTTCAGATGAGGAAACTTGCCCAGGATCATTCATTTGGAATTTGCCTGCATGTCTTTCTGCCTCCAAAGCTCATCCTTATAATGCCGGTGAATTTGAGCTACTCACACAGAGAAGATTCAGTTTCAAAGGAGTGGAGTACTTGAAATTAACTATCATTTTATCTCCTGATAAAGATTATTATTTGATACAAGTGCTAGCATATTCAGTTTTCATTGTGATTAATATTTTGAAATTTTGAAAATTTAGAAAATGTACCCAGGTGATAAAATTTGTTTAGGGAATTTTAGAGAATATGGAAAACCACAAACTAGAATGAACAATTTCTCAGAAAAGCCCAGAGAAAATGTTACCCTTTAGATTTTTTTCTCATTGATATACATCTATATATTCACACATACATACAAATTTTATTTTATTCAAAAAAAATTTTTAATGATTATTTTTTTGAGAGAGAAAAAGCATGGAAGCAGATGAGGGGTAGAGAGAGAGAGAGAGAGAGAGAGGGAGAGAGAGAAGTCCAAGCAGGCTCCACAGTGTCTGCGCAGAGCCTGACCGTGGGGCTGAATCTCACAAACTCAGATCATAACCTGAGCTGAAATCAAGAATCGGACACTCAACCGACTGAACGACTCAAGCGCTGCCACACACATACAATTTAGATAGGATCATGTAAAACATTATTTGTCAGTAGGGTAGTTAACCTTAAAAATAAAACTCAGTTATTTTACCAGCAAAAATGAGTTTATTCAGGAATAGCAGAATTGCAATTCAGGACATGCAAATTAACAGCAAAACTATAACCAAATTCAACAGAAGAGAGGAACATTATTTTCTGGAGGAGGAGGAAGTTGTGAGGGATTGTTTTGAACTAAAAGTCCATTGGAGAAAAGAGTTCAGGGTGCTGATGGTTTCTCATTGCCTGAGTTGCAGAGGTAGTCGAGTTCTTATTGGCGATGTGACAGTGCATCTCTTTCTTGCTGGGGCCCATAACTGAGGATATTTTCCTGCTGATGATTCTTGTTGAGGTCTGACACTTCTTCCTTAGTTAGTGTTGAGTGGTACTGTTCTCCTGTCTGGCCTCCTGACTCTACTTAAGTGAGGTGTCCCTTTATTTTCAGTGTGTTAGCTGGACTTCTGCATTTTAGGTATTATTTTTTAAAACCTTTGTTATAAAGTATAATAGTATCTTAATTTTTGTACAGATATTTTGATTTTAATATTTTATTTGGGGGATTACTATGACTTCGACTCTGGCTTTATTAAAGCCTCTTACATGAAATTTACATCTCAAACCACATTTATACTTTTTTGTAGTGTTACAAAATCCTTCAAAGTTTTGAGTAACTTGGGCCTTGATATAAACAAATACTTGGTCTTGTAAAAGTTACAGTACATATTAGATTATATTCTCTTATTTTAAGAATTTTGTTCTCTGTACTTTGTAATGACTCAGTCAACAGTATAGCTTAGATTTATTGTCAATGAAGCTATTTTGAAAATGACTCTTGAAGAATAGCTGATTCATACTTGGTTTTGCTATTTTTATTACAGATCGTTTATTATTTTTACGCCAGTACATCTGGTACAGGTGAGTATCGCTTCTTCAGAGAATGGTATGAATGTCAAATACAAATATTATCCTATTTATGATTCAAGTTTTAAGAATTGGATCCCAGATTGTGATACAGATGCTGACATTCAGGTGAATAAAATAGACCTCAAACATTTGATATACAGACAAGGTAGCTCAGTCTACTCAGGGTAATGTCTGTTCCCGAGTCCTTATTAAGAATATCTCAGGATGACTTCTGCTTCCTCTGGTGAATGTTCTCAGTTTTATCTTGAATGCCCACACGATGGGTCTGTAGCTTGGGGATCTTTTTTAAGAAGAGTTTTGTTTTTACTGTATCAGCAGCTCTCGTGATCAGTATTTAGTTGCTGTGCAGGAGGGGAGGGGGTCCTTTAGGTTTCTGGCCTTGGGCACTTTTTAATTCTTTTCAGTGTTAAGAATGTTTTCAGCCTTAAGGGGAACAAAGAAATGATTATTCTGACAACTGATACAGTTCTGCTCTTAGCTAGGTATATAGGAATTGTTTTATAGATTTAATTAACACAGATGTTTTTTCTCTTAAGGACATTTAATCTTAAACGTTCCAGAGATAATAGAGTTTTATAAAAGAGACCTTTGGCTCTTCTCTGGGATTGGCTCTGATGTTTTCCGGCTGTGTGTGTGTGTGTGTGTGTAAGTGTAAATGTAATCTTGGTTTTGGTTTTTTTTTTGTAATCTTGTTTTTTAAGGGGTGTGGACTATGATGGGGTAAAGAGATGAGAGCAGAGGGAGGGGCAAGGACGGGAGAGGGGTTTAAGAGGTAGGCTATTTTTTCCTGAGCTCACTAGGTGATCTAGCTTGCTAGTTCTGAACATCTTCGGGAAGTGTGGGCAGAAAATCCCCAGTGTAGGCCAGTGCACCATAAAGTGATGATCTGATCTTCCCCAGGACATGTTTTGTTACTTTCATAAGTAATGTGAAGTTAACTGAAAAAAGTTCAGTTTTTGCTCTTGAGTTTTTGGTAATTAAACCTAAAGGTTTTGGGGCCAATATTTGATTCAAGTGACTTTTTCTTTTAAAGTTTTTCTTCTCTTAATCATGAAATATCACAAACAGAATTATAGACACTGTAAGTTATAACAGGTTTATTATCTACATGTGATTTAGGCAGTTGTCACTGTTTGCTTCAGATAGCCTTCTCTCTTTCTCAGTGCAAAATGTTACAACTCAAGGTGTCCCCTCTAGACCCCCCGTCTTCCTCTTCCTTTCTAGAGGAAATTATCGTCCATCTATTGATGCTATCTTTCATATGTGTTTCATATCTTTGTTATAGTATTTCTATAATTACTATGGTATTAAATATTTTGTGTTTTAGAAATGAACACAAGTACACTGAATGTGTAGGACTGAGAAATACACACGTGCACACACACACACATATATTTACTCTTTTTTTTAAGTTTATTTTGAGAGAGAGGGAGAGAGTGTTCGTGAGACAGGGAGAGAGGATCCTAAGTGGATGCTAAACCACCCACGCTCCCCTATTTCTGACATATTTTATTTATTTATTTTTAAAACAAGTATTATCATTTTATTTCATTTTTAAAAAATGTTTTTGAGAGAAAGAGGGTACAAGCGAGTGGGGGGGGGGCGGAGAGAGAGAGAGAGAGAAAGAGAAAGAAGTGGGGCTTGAGCTCATCTGATGTGGGATTTGAATTCACGAACTGTGACATCATGACCTGAGCTGAAGTCAGATGCTTAAAGACTGAGCCACCCAGGCGCCCATTGATTTATTTTAATTACAGGTCTTTTTAGCCTACTTTTTTTGTTTTCTGTTTTCCATAATGTTTTTTTCTGTGTGATTTTGTTCTGTGTTCCTCCCCTCTGCACCCCCCCCCCCCACCCGTTGGCTCGTTCTCTGTATTCTTCTTTTCCATCTATTTTCTTGATTTCCTCCTGTGTTACTTTTGATTTGTCTTATCTGCTCACGCACCCACGGTGGATCCTTCTGTCTTTTGTGAAGGATGTTAGTGTGAGCTTCTGCTTGGCTCTTATTGCACCACTTGAGTGAATTTAAATTGCAGTCTGATCTCGCATGTGGTAAAGGCTTGGGGTTTTGGTTTTTCATAGGGGAGTTCATTCCCATGCCCCCACAGACCAAATTCTAGACCGAGATGAGCTTCTAGAACGCCCCCCTGGGGCCCTTGGGGAGCCTCGGCTGGCTCTTTCTTTCAGTGAGCCTGCAGCCTCTGGCGGGTGCTGGCCTTTGCAGGAGTCTCCCTTCCAATCTTGTTCTCCTGTGTCCTGCACCTCGATTCCTGTCCCACGTGTTCCCTCCTGATGCCGCGCCGGTAGCCAATTCTAACTTCAAGTTCCCTTTTCGTTTCTAGTACTTGCAGATTTCTCTTTCTTTCTTAAGAATTTAGCTGTACACTAGAATTTGTTAAAGTTGAGTCGGAATTTCTAGGCGTGCACAGAAGGAAGGGTTTCTTACAAGCTCACCTGTGCTAGGTTGCTGGCATCTTCGATATCCTTTCCTTAAAAAGGTTTTAACATTTATACCTTTGAATATACCACCACGTTTTTCTGGAAGAAGAGTCATGGATGTGGTCTAAAGTTTCAGGTAAGCAATTAGGGACTTTCAGTTTCAGGTTTGCCCATGTTCAAATTTTATATTTTAATGTAAAAAAAAAAAAAATCCTCTCTTGTTATAGACCTGTGTGCTTTTTATAACATTTATCTACTTGTATGTGTTTTTCCTGATTAAAGTTAGCTAATGTGTTGTTTCAGCCCTGTGCCTTTTTTGCTCCCTGATGGACTGGTTCGCTTGGTTAATAAACAGATAAACTGGCATTTGGTACTTGCGAGGTAAGGTATTAAAAATTCATATCATTTTCTCTTTTTTTTTTTAATGTTTTTTAATTCATTTCTGAGAGAGAGAGAGACAGCGCAAGCAGGGGAGGGTCAGAGAGAGAGGGAGACACAGAATCTGAAGCAGGCTCCAGGCTCTGAGCTGTCAGCACAGAGCCCAACATGGGGCTCGAACCCACGAACCGTGAGATCATGATCTGATCTTGGATGCTTAACGGATTGAGCCACCCAGACGCCCCTCATATTGTTTTCTCTAGTGGGGTTAGCATTTAAATTTCATTATGGATATTAATTTTGGGGTCCTTTTTGTCTTGCATTCTTGTTTTTTTTTTTTTTTTATTGTATATAAGTTCCTTTTGTTACATATGATTTGTATCTCTTAAATGTATTAATTCTCTATATTGAATCATTTTGTTCATGCTTTTGTACCTTTGATACTCATTTAATTTTAAGGTTAAATTAAGATGAAGATGTGAATAATTGAAGATGTGAAAAAAATTAATTTCTTAAAATAATTTCATCTTTAAAGACTGCTACAAATATTCATGTAGCATCTGTGTTTTTTTCTCTCAATGAAAGCAATGGAAAACTTTTGGCTGCCGTTCAAGATCAGTGTGTGGAAATCAGGTAATTGTTAATATTACTCCTATTCAGAATTTCCCTTGAGAAAAATTTCCTTGATTTATGGGAGCTAAATTTTTTGAAGGGTGTATTTAAATGGCTTTTACTATTAACACATAATTTTGTGAGGTGTCAGACAGCAACTTATGCCAGGTGCAGAACAGAGGGTACTGTGTTAGTGTAGCTGGTCTACTTCCCCAACGCCCTCTGCTCTCCCCTGGGAAATTTTACTTTTTCATGAGACCAGGCGTTCCTCCAGAACTCTGGGAGTCACTCTTGTTTGACTAGTTACTGTCGAGTCCACTAAAGCAGATGCTCAAGAAGGTATTGAAAAAAGTAGGGGATACTTGGCTCTGTTGGCATAAAGCTGTACATGGAACAGGAGTCTGCAAGGCGAAGATTACACGTTTCTTGAGACCAGTGATAGTCTCTGTCCTTTTGAGACCTTCATTGGCGTTACATACACATCTAGAAGTCTTCTCTAAGCTGAGCTTTTCACGGACTTTATTTTTAAGTAATCTATCAGTTGTGGAAAAAATAGCAACAGGAGAAGCTAACTCAGGAAAACTAGTTGATTATTTTGGAAATTAGCAATAGAGGACGAAGCATGTTGCATTGCTAAAATTAGAGGCTATGTCTTCCTCCAGGCAAGGCCTGACTCTTTGTTTTTAAAAACTAAGTAAGGTGACCAAAATTTTAGGATCCCTAGATATTGGTCAAAAGTTTTTGCTGATACTTCACTATTCTTGACTAAACAAGTATAATGTGCATTCGGTTGTTCCCACCCTCGTGTCAGCTTTTTGTTTGTGCAGTTTCTTTCTTTTTCCAGTTACTCAAACAGAACTGGACCCCTCACCTTTTTGGGGAGTAGACAGAGGGCTTACCCCCACTGGGGCATCAACTTCAGATGGGGAGGCTTTGTTTTGTGATCCCTCTTAAAATCCCCAGGATGGAGAGGATAGGCACTAATGACAAGCCTTTCAAAACGACAGTGTCTAATTTGGCATGGCTTTAAAAGGCAGACCCTTCTTTTTTTCACAGCGTCAGTAAGCATCAAGCTGGCACAGTTTTGAACTTAACATTGTTCGTAGAAATGGGTGAGCACTTGCTATTCCGTGTGTTGCAGTAATGTGAAATCTGTCTTTTTGAGATACGTGCTTATGGTGTGACTTTATAAATAGCGGTTACTTGTCAAAACTTCCATCTTTCTCCCATGAAATGAGAACATCAGCAGCATGATTGTAGGTGTTAGGGTCAGAATGTGCATGCGGGGGTGGGACTGATATTTAGGCCAGTGAAGAGGAGTTTGACCAAGGGTCTCTAGAACATGTTAATAGCATTTTTGGTGAAAAGAATAAGAAAAATTGTTTTTGTAAAAGGATTTGCTACTGGATTGGTAGAGTGTAAAATATTTATAAAACTTGTACATAAATCCAGCTCTAGGACTTCATGCGTGTATTCGAGATTAGGTGGTGAGGGAGGATTCCCAGGCAGCCAAAGGGATGGTCATCAAGATCTTATTTGTCTGGTCTGTAATTTGCAAAAGCTTTTGATCACATTAGTGTATCTGAGGACTCTTCCATGTCTAACACGGATTCCGCTAGGAAGCCTTTTAGGAACATACTCTCTGTGGTTCCACCCCCGCCCCCCTGCTTTGGTTAGGTGCTGATTCTTTATGCTCCCAAAATAATCAACACGCTATTCTACTTAGTGATAAGACTGTACCAAGGATGTTGGGCAATCTTATGGGTACTTTACATGTGTTAATTCATTTAATCCTTGCAGAAGCCCTGGGAGGTAGCTTTTGCCATTTTTCTCCATCTTAGCAGCGAGGAAGCTGACGTAATACGGTTCAGTTACTTTCTTGAGGATTTGAAATCTGCCATCCCAGCTTCGGTGTTGCTGCTCTTAACCACTAATCTACACTACCTTGGGGTCTTGTTGTTTAGCCTTGTGTGCTTGTGTTTTTACACGTGGGCTCCCCTGGTATAGTTAGGGCCGCTCCAGGTCATCCTTTACTTAGAATTCAGCGTGAATGGCAGCTTCTGTCTGAAGTCTAGTTACGCTGTGTGTTCCTTGGAAGCCGGCCCTGTCCTTTTCCCTAGAAGTTTATATTTCCTTGAACATCATAGGTGCTTCGTTGATGTTTGATGAATAAGTAAGGTGTTTGCAAGTGGGACAGAGGAGGCAGATGTGGGAGGTGCGTTATAGGGCGTAGCCCGCTGACCTGCTCAGAGTCAGCAGTCCATCCCTTTCTCCCGAATTAATAGACACACACCCTTTGTAGTGACCTGAACGGAGAGTCTTTGAGGAAAGAAGTGAGATGGTCAGCAAAGAAAAAGGGCCAGGTAGGTCTTCAAAGTAAACCCTATGGACAGTGGCCAAACCTGAATCTGTAAGACCTTTGTTCTTGCTCTCCAACGTGTATTTTATACTGCGGTGTGAAGAACACGTACAATGCAAGATTGGCTCCAGCAGCGATAGTAGTCGGCAGCTGGCATTTGGTAAATATTGTTGATTGTATTGGAATATGAGTGAGAACTCTGATGTCTGGGGTCCTTCTTCAGTACTTGGAAGCAGTCATAAATAGCAAATGGCTTTTGAGGAAGAAAGCTGAAAAGCTGAAACACATGTTAGTTTCAGTTTGGAGAGAGCCCTGCCTTTGGTAAGATGGTGCCGGGGCTGCTGCTCTGTGTGCCGCAGTGGCAGACGGTTCCAGTCCTTTGCTCCGATCGGCCCTACCAACCTGCTTGTGTGCGAGGCTCTAGTGGATAAAAAGTGACTTGTTGTGAATTGCTACTTTGGTAATTTGGCACTGAGTAGGTATTATAAGAGGCTAATATGTGTTTTCTCCCCCCCCCCCATAATGAAGTAACAATTTCTTACTGTTATGAGCTGTTACAAATATGGGAATTAGGAACCATCATGGAATGCAACAAAAACAACAACAAAGAGACTCTTATAAAAAAAGGCACCTGCCTCCAAATTTGCTTAAGTGAATACATATACGAAGTTTTGACAAAACCAAATTTATGTCTCCCTCCTTCACCTTTCCAAGCAAAAGAGCAATTATTATTTGTGATAATATATTAAGGACAAAAGTAATGAATACTGACATAGGCCTAGTTTGTGCTAATTTATATGTAATGTCTTCTTTAATCCTTCCCTAAGCTACGAAGTGATATTACCCATCCCATTTTATTGAAAGGAAAATGAAATTCCCACTAAATATTTTCTCCAGGTTACCCAGATAGAGCTGGAATCAGGTCAGCCTCATTTCAAAGACTATGTTCTCTATTCCACGTGGAGGCTGAATAGTCAATTTCTTGAGGAAGTTTATTACCATATTTAATAATTGGCTTTTGTCCTAATACAATATTTTAATAAATGGCTAAAAATATTAGTGTTTAAAATGTGTTTTAAAAGTAATGCTTTGTCACTTTACCCATATTAGAAAACAGTTAAGTATTCAAGAAAGAATGACAAAATACAGTTCAGCCAAAATGTTGTATGTTCTTTGGAACTTTTCTGTGTGTGTGTGTGTGTGTGTATGTGTGTGTGTATAATGCTTAGTCTAACAATACTATACGTTCTGTTTGATATGTCTTTTCTTGAAATGTTTTGAAAATTATGAACATCTTTCCATGTCACATATAGTAATTGCATAATATTTCATTGAGTGCAGATAGCGAATCTAATCTTATACTGGGTGTATATTTCTCTTTTATAAATTAGGCTGCATGTATTTCCTTGAGATCTGTGTGTATCTGTAATTATTCCCTAGAGATAACTTTATTATAGAAATTGAGTCTGGATCAAATTACTGTAGGCATTAGGTTTTAGATAATTGTTACTAAATTGTTTTCTAGATGGTTTACCATTTTTCTTTTTTTAACATACAATAATTAAATTACTTTGGTATATATTTCAAGATCACAGATTTTAAATAGGTCATTGGTAGCAAATATGGTCACTTATTCAAGCTATTTGATTTATTAAAATAAGACCTTTTTTTCCCTTAAAATGTTTATTCTTGAGGGAGCCAGGTGGAGGGGCAGAGAGTGAGGGAGACAGAGGATCCTAAGCTGCACTGTCAGTGCAGAGCCTGATGCGGAACTTGAACTCGTGACTGACCGTGGGATCATGACCTGAGCCGAAATCAGGAATCAGACACTTACTCGACTGAGCTAGCCAGGCACCCCAAGACTTTGTTTTCCTAAATGATTTAAACTTTATAATATGATACAAACCATGGTTTGTGACCAACATCAATCTGTGGAGCTTCAGAACATATTATTTCTTAGGCCCTGTCCCATATTTGCTGAATCAGAACCTGTTGTATTAAAAGACCATGCTTAATCTCATTCTCGTATCACTGTATTCCAGGTATAGCTCCATTTCTGGTGAAATAAGGTTGGAAGAAAATGTTGTCACCAATGAGAGGGTCTTATTTGAGCACAAATCCATGTCTGAGAGAAGGACTGGTTTAGTGCCATACAGACAAGTTGTCTACTTTGTTTTTGTGGGGTTTCCTAGTGCGACAAAATGTGTTATTGTTATGGTGACACTGTTGGCTTAATTTTACACCTATTTTGCAGGTCTGCAAAAGATGACTTTACATCTATTATTGGGAAATGTCAAGGTAAGAGTTTCGAAAATATTTAAAAAATGGAAATTTCAATTTTGCTACAGTTAAAGTATTTCTTAAAAGTCAGGATATATGTTAAATATTAACAAGGATTGTTGTGACTTTATTAAAATACTTTTAAAACATCTTAACTGATTTTTCTTACTGCGTTAAATGATTTGCTTAGTCCATTTGGGACCATTTTTTTTGAAGAGATTTGAAGTCGAAACTTTTAAAATAAAAGTCTGTGCCAGTTTTGGGATAAAGTATTTTTGTCTCTTGTCCTTTTTTTTTTTTTCCTTTTTAAAAATTGTAATCTCTCTGCTCATTGTGGAGCTTGAGATAATGACCCGGAGATCCAAGGGTCCCATGCTGTACTGACTGAACCAGCCAGGCGTCTCTAGTCTTATATTTTGAATTCAATGCAAAAAAAAAAAAAAATCTGTAAGTCAAGAGTTGGAATTTGTTCATTCTCCTGGTGTTGTATTCAGCGCAAATTACTATCCTTTATGTATCTGAATCATTTTGCGGGGTGCTAGGGATATAATTATGAGCAAAAAGTCACGGTCTCCTACCTCTTGAGGTGTGTAGACACTCAAAATATAAATACAAACTGTGACAAATCTGATGAAGGAAAAATACAGAGCAGGGTGAGAGTTTAACCAGGGCTGTGTGATGAGATTGTTGAGAAAAAGTGACTTTTGAAAGCAGTCTGAAGGATGAGTAGAAAGGAAGCCAGGGGACATGTTTCTGTCTGCAGGAGCAGGTATGAAGAGGCAGAGGGAACCTTCCAGAAAGAATAGAATTAGGAGGGTGCTATTAGGTAATTGCAACTACTGTGTATGTTTTACTTAAGGACCTGCAGTCCCATCTGTCTGACCTTGGGTTGGTTAGTAAGTGCAGTTGTAGGAATCGTCAGGATGGTAATCATGGTTGTTGTGATGACAATGAATATTTATAGTGTCCTGACTGTGTGCCAGGCACTGTATTCAGTGTCTTACTTTCACTTTCTTTCTTTAAAAAAAAAAAAATAAATGTTTTTTATTCACTTCTGAGAGAGAGAGCGTGAGCAGGGGAGGGTCAGAGAGAGAGGGAGACACAGAATCTGAAACAGGCTCCAGGCTCTGAGCTAGCTGTCAGCACAGAGCCCGAGGCGGGGCTCGAACCTACGAACTGTGAGATCGTGACCTGAGCCGAAGTCAGACGCTTAACCGACTGAGCCACCCAGGTGCCCCTACATGTTTTACCATAAAGTAGCATTAAGGTAAAATAAATCCTTGACAGTGAAAGAGAGCTAGGAGAAGGAAGACCTCGATAGTTTTGAAATCTACAAAATGATGGTTCTGTTGAGGATTTGCCCCAGCTTTCCCCAGGAAATGCTGAAGCTCCTTGACAGATGCACCCTCAGTGAGTGGCTCAGGGTGAGTTACCTTCTCACTTTTGTCATTTTTGGCCACCCACATATGTTCTGAAAATTCAAGGTCAGGTGTTTGAAAAACGTTTTCAGTTTTCCTATGAATGGCGATCATTCTATTAGTATGTCAGAATTGCTTTAATAATTTTATGATTCCACATATGCTAGTGGGCAAAGCAGTAAAAGAGTTCTTACAGAGTCATCTTTACAAATAATAGATGTTATAACTTAAGAGCAAATGTAAAATTGCCTATTTGCCTATATAATCTTATTTCTCCTTCTTAGAATCTGTTCTTTGGCTCTGTTCCCTAGATTGTCAGTGATACCATTAGCTGTATCAAGCCAGTTACCAACATATTTGCTCATTCTTTTTCCTTCTCTGTCTTCTATCTTCTTTGACAAATATTTATTAAGCTGCTACCATGTGCGAGGCACTCTCCTGGGCACTGCATATAAAATGAGGAGTAAGCCATAGGCCATCTGGATTGAAGGCTTTGCACTCTGCCGGGGGAAGAGAGAAGTAACTCACTGCAGTGTCGTGAGTGACACAGTGGGGAAGGATCGCCTTTGCTTAACATCACCAAGCCCTGGGAACCTGTTCAAATAGCCCTTGCCTCTGCTTTTGCACTTCTGCCACCACAGCTCTAGCACAGGCTTTTAACATTTTCTCTCTCTCTCTCTCTTTTTTTTAGTAATAGTCTCCTGACAAGGTTTTCTTCTGTTTGCCTCTCACAGATCCACACTTCACAGCAAATTCATTACTTTTAAATGAGAATTCTTTCAGGTTACCCTTCAGATCTGGCTCCCCTGCTTTCTAGAAATATGACCTTGGATGTTACCTTACCTCTCTGAGCTTTAATTAATCTGTAATATGGACATAATATTATAGGTTGGATTGTTGAAAAACCACAAGCTAATACATGTAAAGCTCTTAGCATAATGTCTGATGTATCCTAAGTATGTAGGAGACCTTAAGCTATTGCTACCGCTACCACTACCAATGTGGTTATTCTGCCTAAAATCTTTCAGTTGTTTCCCACTGATTGTAGAATATGGCTCATTTTTTCCTGACCTTTCAGTCTGTGTGTCCCTTAAGATCTCCCTGCCCTACATCCTGTGTTCTAGCACAAACCTGCTGTGCCTTTCCAGCCCCACCGTGCTTTTCACGCCTCGGTACAGATAGTTCCTTTTGCCTAGAGGCTCTCACTTTTATATTTAATTAATGAGTCTTGCATATTTTCGGTTTAGACATCAGCTCTTTTGGGAACCCTCCCTCCCTGCCTGCTTCCTCCTCATTTGTGCCTCTTTCTTAATGTTTTCCTAGGACTTGTTTGAACATGTATCACCATACATAGGCTAATCTGCCTTTTTCCCCTTCGTTGTTGAGATGCTTGTCTGTTTCCTGGGTAAGCCTACCCAGTAAATTCTTTGAAGGCAGGGCTCCCATATTACTCAGCTTTTTTTGTTCCTGGTGCCTAACATGGTGTCTTACAGCGTAGTAGGCACACAGCGTTTGACCCTATCAAATGGGTAATGACACTTGAGAACGGTTATAGCGATATTTACAATTTTATTATGAAAAAGTATATTTTCCTATTTCTTGTGAGTTAATTTTAGAAGTTCATGACTGTATATATATAGATTTATAATTTGTATGTAGAGAGAGAGTGTGTGAGTGAGCAAAGGAGGGGCAGAGGAAGAGGGTGAGAGATTGTTACACAGGCTCCATGACTGACATGGGGCTCGATCTCACAACCCTGGGATCATGGCCTGAGCTGGAATAAAGAGTCGGACACCTAACTTAGGGATCCAGGTGCCCCTGGCCCCATGCTTTTATTTTTATTGCACACCAGTGTGTACACATACCACAAATAAGGGTAGATAAGAGGTCTTGTTTGCTTAATAACCTGTTGAGAATAATAGAAGGAGTGCAGTGTGTGTGCTTGGAGCTCTAGCCTTTTCTAAATTTACTCTCAGTAATCTTCACCAGCACTCATTAAAGTAGACCAGACCTGGCTTAAATAATGTGTAAGGATCAAGATGTTCCCAGAAGAATAATTTAGGGATAGACATTCAGTTATGTTTTCCCCAGAGCTTTGCTTCTGTTGGGTGAGAACTGGGGGAGCCTGAGGTGAGCTGCTGAGAAGCACGTTCAGAATGTTGGAGTGATTCAGACCTGCAGGGTCCTTTTGAGTGGTGACATTAGACACCCACTCTTAACCAGTACGTAAACTGAGAAATCTACCAGTTAACGTGAAAATGGGAAGCTTAACCCTCTGTATTTCACACAAATTATAATATTTGTTGGAGGTTTTAGTGCGTACCGTTAATGTGGCAGCATGGATGGGTAATAATGCTTTGCGAACTAATGTTTTATTTCATTGGCTTCCGAATGTTTGAATTTATGACCTTAATGCTGCATTAATGGCTTCTTTCCATTTCATATAATTTGAGGTAATGATTATTTGCTTATTATCTGACTCTTCTTTATAGGATAACTCTCATATTCCAAATGAGGTTTCCTGTGTATGCCTGGAGAAAAGGAGCCAGATTGTTGTTAATGCATTTTTGAAACTACATATTGCAGAGTCTGCAAACTAAAATAGGAACTATTTGGTTCCACTTTGATATTTTTCAATTATTGCCTTATAAAATATATGCCATTTGAGAATGTTTTAAATGTGGGTTGCAACTTGTTTTGGCTCTGTTTGCGAGGCCATAAATACCAGTCTTCTCTCCCTGTCTTGGATAGTGACCTAAATAATACCACATGGAATGAGTGGTTACATTTTTTTGTTTTTTAGAGCTGTACTGTGTTAATCAAGAGGTTTTTCTCATATTTCTGATTTTGAAATCTCATAAACCAGAGCTTCCAGTAGGAGGCAGCAGTTTGCCGGTTGTAAGTATGCGGAGGACCCATCAGTAAACTGGTGGCCTGCTGGGCCCCATGATGGCCCAAGCCCCAACACCATCTTTTGTATTTTTGTATTTCTAAGACCTGGCTTCTATATTTTGTGGTTTCCATCACATTTCTTTTGAGATTCTCTCTATACTGCCTATGTTTATGTTTTGCTTTGAATTCCCAAATATGCTATAATAGCTGTAAAATGCTACAAAAGCAGTCCTTGTCTGCTTATTCCTCAATTTGTAGCATTTCTGGGCGTGTTTTTGTTGGTTGGGTTTTCCCATGATTATGTATATCTTCCTGCACTTAAATATTTATTTTATGTTTGAGAGACAGAGAGCACACAAGGGGGGGTGGGGGAGTGAGAGAATGAGACACAGAATCCGAAGCAGGCTCCAGGCTCTGAGGTGTCAGCACACAGCCCGATGCGGGGCTTGAACCCATGAACCACAGGATCATGACCTGAGCCGAAGTCAGACGCTCAACCGACTGAGCCACCCAGGTGCCCCTGTTTTCCTGTACTTTAGATTGTATGCTCAACATTAAGGAGCTGACTAGTGAGCCTTGTTATCTTCCCTAATAGAGTATTGAGGTTTGTTCTGGGAAGTAGTTAATCAGCTTAATTTTTTAAGGTTTATTTTTATTTTAATTTTTTTATAATGTTCTAGGATATGGCTTAGAATAGCTTTTATTTTG